GGCCAAAGGTTGAGCTGATGCGCGGCGTACCGGACCGCAAACGGCCACAGAAAATGGGGGGCAGCCGCATGGATCATGGAGGTACGAGCGACCTCCATGACTAAGCCAATGCGGCGCTCAGCAACCCCATTCTGCTGCGGAGAGGCCGGAAGCGTGAAAGTCTGGCGGATGCCGTGCTCCACACAGAAGGCTGCCAAGAGGTCTGAGGAGAACTCACCACCTCTGTCAGAGTGCAGACGCAGGACAGGAAAGTCCGACTTGAACCGCTCGCGGAGCTGGAGACGAGTAGCGCGGATCCAGGGGATCAAAACATCAGGGACATCCCCCTTGCGCTGCAAGGGGAAGACCGTGGTGTAGCGCGTGTAGTCGTCGACAACCAGCAGGAAGTACCGCTCGTGGCCCTGTCCACAGACGTGGGCTGGGCCCCACACGTCCAGGTGGAGAGTCTGCAGTGGAGCCTCTGTGGGAGGGAACGAGGAGGAGTGAGGAGCGGCGCGCTGCCGTCCCTCGACGCAGGGAATGCAGGGCGGCGCAGGAGAGGGAGGGAGGGGAGGGAGAGACCTGGGAAGACGAGAAACCAGGAAGCGGGAGTGCATGCTGCGTAGGCGAGGCAGGGAGGGGTGACCAAGGCGGTCGTGCCACAGGAGAGTGTCGTGCGACAGCCGGCGACACTCACACTGTGTAGCCACCTGAGCAGACGCGTGCAACTGGGGAGACAAAGGGGCGGAGCGTGACGCAGTGGTGAGGGTGTACAGACTGGACCCTGGCGCACGAGCGAACGTGGCCAGGTGGCGACCAGTTTGGGAGCACGTGCAAATCGCCACACGCTGCCGGCCAGGGGTGAAGGTGTCAACCCCAGCATCCTGGAGGACAGCGTTACTCACCAAGTTCGTAGAGAACGAGGGGAGGTGGAGACCAGACAGCTCACCAGACGGGACCGCCGGACACGGAAGCACAGTGGAAGACCGTGCAAGCACTGGGCCCCCAGAGGGGTCAGCCAGTGAGACAGGAACAGGTGCAGGGAGGGGAGTGACTGTGGTACTGTCGCGAAAGAAACAGCGGGAAGCACCAGAGTCAAGTGTAAAGGTGTGCAAAGCCTGTGCAGGCGCAGTACCAAGGGGAGCAGACTCACAAGCACCTAGTGCTGCAGGGGCTATACCAGGGGCTATACCAGGATCCGGCGGCACACACAAGTAGCAGTCACCCTCAGCACTATCAGACAAGGCATACATAGCAGCAAGAATTGCCTCATAGTCAAGATCAAAGATAGGTACATCATGCCTAAGCAAGTCTGCCCAGTTGGGAACTCAGGAGCATCAGGAAACTTGGCGCGCCAGGCGTCGCTAAGCCGAGCGAAGCAGCGCTGCTCAGTGTGAAAACCTGTGCACTGGCGACCAGCGCGGGGACCTGTGCGGATGATATAGGGGCAGCGACCAGGACCCCCAGAAGCCCCACGCCCGGCATACCAGTCAAGAAGTTGCTGGGAAGTGGGGGTCTGGCGCTGACGCTGATGCTGTTGCTGCTGCGGCTGCTGCTGGCCCTGACCACCAATGCCACTACCGCTCCCTCCTCCCCCACCGCCGCTGCTGCCCCCTCCACCGCTCCCAGTGCCTCCGCCGCCCCCACCACCACCTCCACCGCCTCCACCCCCACGACCACCCCCACCACCTCCACCTCCCCCGCCGCCTGCACCACCGCCACCTCCACCGCCACCCCCACCGCCCCTGCCACCCCTGCCGCCCCTGCCGCTGCGACGCTTCCCACTAGGAGCGGAAGCAGCTCCGACCCCCTCAGCACCAAGGTAGTCGTGAGCAGCAGGTGCGGAGGCGTAGGAGGGGGTGAGAGGGGAGGGGGAGCACCCATCAAAGAGGGGAGAGTGAGGAGTGCCACGAGCAGCACCTACAGCGAGGATGTTTTTCTCTGCTGCGAGGAGGTGCTTCTCGAAGTCGTCGACAGTGAGAGTGGTGGGGTCTAGCGCTAGGAAGTGGTCCCTGACAGAGCTAAGAGTGTCAGGGAGGCGGGTGACGAGGAAATAGAGAGTGAAGTACATCGGGGGGGGGGGGGGTTTGCGGCGCAGAACTCGGCTGAAAGGGCGGCACGAAAGCGAGAGTCAGTAGCGGTGAACGAGGAAATATCGGGGAACAGGTACGGTAGCATGAGTCGATCTATGGCTGCAGTGGCCGGGGAGGAGTAGCGCGCAACTACAGCGTCGTACAGTGTCTGAGCAGTTCTGTGCTGGCTGAAATGCGCTCGCTCAGTAATCGGCAGGTGGTTCCTAATAGCTAGGCGTGCAGCAGCATCACGAGTCTGCCACTGGGAGCGTTCTAGAGCAGGAGCATCGGCAGCAGGAGTAACGGCAGTGCCAGAGACGCAATCAAACAGGGAAACGCCCTCTTTGGCATCAGTCAGAAGGAACAGCTGGAGATCGTCTAACCACACAGTGAACTCGATGGGACGACCGTCAGGCTCGAACGCTAGAACGTTAGGCGTCGCCATATTGGCTTAAGGCAGGAGGCAGCAGGCAGCAGGCAGCAGGCAGAGGCAGCAGGCACCAGGTAGGAGGCAGGAGGCAGAGGCAGGAGGCAGAGGCAGGAGGCAGAGGCAGGAGGCAGAGGCAGGAGGCAGAGGCAGGAAGCAGGGGCAGCAAGCAGCAGGCAGCAGGCAGGCAGCAGGCAGGCGGCAGGCAGGCGGCAGCAGGCAGTAAGCAGGCAGGCGGCAGCAGGCAGCAAGCAGCAGGCAGGCAGCAGGCAGGCAGCAGGCAGGCGGCAGGCAGGCGGCAGCAGGCAGCAAGCAGGCAGGCGGCAGCAGGCAGCAAGCAGCAGGCAGGCAGCAGGCAGGCAGCAGGCAGGCTGCAGGCAGGCGGCAGCAGGCAGCAAGCAGGCAGGCGGCAGCAGGCAGGCAGCAGGCAGGCGGCAGCAGGCAGCAAGCTGGCAGGCGGCAGCAGGCAGCAAGCAGCAGGCAGGCAGCAGGCAGGCTGCAGGCAGGCGACAGCAGGCAGTAAGCAGGCAGGCGGCAGCAGGCAGCAAGCAGCAGGCAGGCTGCAGGCAGGGAGCAGGCAGGCGGCAGCAGGCAGCAAGTAGGCAGGCGGCAGCAGGCAGCAAGCAGTAGGCAGGCAGCAGGCAGGCAGCAGGCAGGCTGCAGGCAGGCGGCAGCAGGCAGCAAGCAGGCAGGCAGGCAGGCGGCAGCAGGCAGCAAGCAGGCAGGCGGCAGCAGGCAGCAAGCAGCAGGCAGGCGGCAGCAGGCAGGAGCGGCCTGAGGGCTGCGTGAGGCTGCTGGCTACGTGTGGCGGCTTGCTGCACGAGGCTGCAGGCTGCGCGTGGCTACGGGCAGCGCGCGCGGCCGCAGGCTGCGTGCGGCGACGGGCTGCGCGGGCTGCGGGCTGCTTGCAGCTGCGGGCTGTGCGTGGCGACAGGCAGCGTGCGCGGCTGCAATCTGCGTGCGGCTGCGGGCTGCGCTGGGCGACGGGCCGCACGTGCGCGGCTGCGGGCTGGTCGCTAAGCTGCGGGCTACGCTGGGCGACGGGCCGCGCTGGCGTGGCCTAACCAGGTTGCGCGCGGGCGGCTTAAGGGGCGCACAGGCGGGGCCGAAACGGGCTACGCGGGCTGCTGAAGCGGCGCACGATGGAAAAAAAACGGACCGCCCGAGGCGCGCGCGGGCAGCCGAGGCGCGCACGGGCACTAGACGAGGCAGACAGGTACGGCGGGCCCTAATCCTAGGTCCTAAGGACCTATGCTCTAGATGCCATGTTAGAATCCTAGGCAAAGGTGGTGTCGACTATCGAGAGGGTTGGTACAAAGGAGAACATAGGGGTTGTACCCCACAGTGAGTACCCCACTAAGCCTACCCAAACTATAACATATATATACATATGTTTGACAGAGAGAGGCCTCTCTCACACTCCATGGTGCAACTTCTTTCAGTCTATTGTCTCCAAGATGGCAGCCAGGCCAGCGCGAAACTTCTTCCCACCTTTTGGTGATCTCGCCAGGACAGGGTACAATGTCCTCAGCTCCTTCATAAGCCATTTTTTTGCCAATGCATGCGACACAGATGGTTAAGAACACCTGGTCAAGTATAGGCACAAAGGGGAGTGATGATAAGGAAACCTAGTAGCACGAAACATATTTAGGGAAGTAGTCGTTAGAATTGTTGGCGCGGAATAGGGTTTAGGATAGAACCGAATCCTGATAGGATTTGTCCGTCACAAAGGAGATGAGACGGATGTATTCCAGTATAATTTTGAAAGTGCCAGCAACTGCCAACCAAGTAATGACGAGCTAGCCGCCATGGATCTTGTCAAGTGGTTTAAGGGCATTAATGTCCACATCGGCTAAGGCATTTTTGATATTGAAAGTTACCATTGACATATGGAACAGGAATATACTAATTGTATGTCTACACTGAAGACTTTGAATCTTTCATTCCCGATTACATCAACAACAATTATGCAATTAAAGTGTCTGCGATGGCGTTAAGCTTCCAAATGTACAACTGTTTTGTTAATACGACCTACTACTGCTATTTTAGTAGTGTAGTATACTCAATGTAGTATACTACCAGTGTAGTATACTCAGACACTTGTGGCGAATGGTATTGCGTATATACTTAAAAGCACGGATTGCAGTACAAAAGATGAACAAAAGGCCCAATACATTTAGGGATAGCAAACAAACATTAGCATGGTATCTCAACAACTCTTTGAAGGAACGAAAACCAGTCCCTATGGTACAACAGACCAGCAAGCACACACATTCGTAATCCCAATCACACACGCACACACGACAGCCTACCGTCCGCCTAAGTTGGTTCCTAGCCTCCGAGAAACAGCATGCAGATGCTCGCACCTCTCCTCCACCAGCCCCCGCTAAGACGTCCCTCTGGCGCTGCCAGCCTGCTGCACCTCCTTCCTCAGCTTGGAGGAGAGCAAGGAACAAAGCAGAGCATGCATTCGTCCTTCTCCCTCTTGCGTGTGCACTTGTTGTTCACCATTGAGAACCCTTTCATGCACGACACACCGACTTTCCTCCCACCCACGTGCACTGAGCACTTCCAGTGCAGGCAGGATTGCACTTGGCTGGCGTCGTTGGGAGGTGGGGGGTGGGGGAGAGGGGAAAGAGCATGAGGCAGAGTCGCAGGCAGCACGTGGAGAAAATGAGAGCAAGTGGCTTGGAAGGAGAAGAGGCACGATGAAGACACAAAAGCACAACACGCACACAAAGCAATGTACTTCAGTGCACTATCTCTCTAAGATTAGACTGCCTCTTGACCCTTTGCTCAGCAGCTGCTTTCTCTGCACAGGTCAGCTCACTAGTGCAGAGGCTGCTTGTCTTGGCATATCCGGAATCACACAGCCTCTTGAAACAACCTCTTGAGGCATGCAACAAACAGCAAGGCACCTACGAGGAGGAGCAGCGCGGCAGAGCTTCTTGGCTGCGTTGAACACAAGGCCCTCGGGGCACTGGCACTGCTGCTTGCCCTCCTTCACAACGCACTCAGCGGTTCCGCAATCCTTGTGACATGTGGCTGTTGTGGGCAGCAGAAAGAAATAATCAACGCAGGCATTTAGAGACAAGGGGTCAAAAGCAAGGCTTCAGGAATAGGGAGGCGAAGACAGGAATTGCGTGGACGTGAATGGATGTGTGCCTTGCTCTGCCATGTGTCTGATCGAGAAAGACACATGCTAGCGTGCTTGGACTTCTTCTGTAGCATGCACATGACACACTTCAGGTCAAGTGATGTTGACCTTTGTGTGTGCTGCACTGCCACTTACTGATATTGCAGCCAACCGATTGCGGAGAGTTAGTTGCTTTGAGGGGCCTGAGAGAGGGAGAGGCAAGGTTGGAAAGGACAATGAGGACGAATCATGACAGTGACTCCAATCACACTTTCCGTGACATGCACCACGCTCAACACACTACGTGGCATTAATCACGCACGTACACAATGTGGCACACTAAAGCACACATCACGTGGCGTGCATCAAACATGCGGCTTGCATCACACATGTGGCGTGCACCACACATGTGGCATGCATCACACATGTGGCATGCATCACACATGTGCCATGCATCACATCACGCTCACACAACATTTCGTGGCGGGGTAGGAACGGCCCTTCTTCGCAATCGACAGGCCCGGCTGGCCCGTGCAGCCCGGGCCAGAGAAGAATATGAGGCTCTTGCACATGCCATTGCCAACCTCGAAAAGATACGGGGCATCCCACACGACGGTGATCTTGCTGTCGCCGCTGCTGGAGCTGAAATTGCTGCACACGGTGGTGCCGCTGGCCTGCTCTGCCGGCACCGAGGTGGAGAAGGTGAATTCCAGCTTCTTGGTGTTGCGCCCACTTAGCTCCACCACCGTCCGCACCAACGGGGCTGAACGACCATTGAAGCATCATTGACGAACGAACGGCAGTTGACGCGATGATTGATGTGATGTTGCCGTGCCGTGAATTGGCCGGCAAAGGTGACGATGATGGGGTTTGGAGACGTTGGGTTGAGGTGGGACAGGGGAAAGGAGAGCAAGAGGGAAGACAGGGAGGAAGGTCTGGGAGGAGTGAGGAGATGAAAAGAGCGCAGTGATGTCTGCAGAAATGTGTTTGTGTTAAAATATTTATCGTCTTACGCTCAGAGACCATCAGTGGAGCACTCACGAAAGCACGTCTTGTCGGTCTCGTTGAAGGTAAACCCATTCATGTAGCAAGAGCACACAGCATCGGGCCCTCTCGGATAGCAGATTGCATCGGGCCCACACTCCTTGCCCAAGAGAACACACGGATCTGCGGGAAAGTCATAAGTGGCTCCGAGGCGAGGTGAGTAGGGCAATGGGCTTACACGATCGCACACTCACCCACACTCCAGTGAACTAGGAGGGAGGAAGAAGAAGAATGGACGGAAAAAGCCTAACGAATAAAATTCGAAGTTCACTTCGGGCAGCAGCAATAGCTGATGCTAGCTTAGGAGCTCTTCCCTTCTGACTGCACGAGAGCATAGCTCACGAGTAAGATTCCATCACTCAGCCGATACAACACTCAATTCACTCCCATGCCACGCGTGCACTCACTCACTCTCCACCACTCACCGTAGCACGTCTTGTCCGTTTCGTTGAATGTTGTACCACCGTAGCACATGCACTCTGCAGGGCTGTTGGGAGCCCTGAGCACGCAACCAGCATCTGGCCCGCAATCCTTGTCACACGAGTCTGCGGGGAAGAGAAGTTCAAGAACGTTCCCAAGTACAGGAGGCGAAGGGGTTTGAATCTTGAACCAAAAAAAGAGGGTAGTTTCTTGCACTCACGCACCCACCCACACTCTGAGAGCACACTGAGCGTGAGAACAAGAGGTGGGAATGAAGAAAGGCGAGAAGCGAGAGCCGAGGAAGAAGAAAGGAATGAAGGAGGCAAGAAGCAAGACGGTGAGAAGCAAGATGGTGAGAAGCAAGACGGTGAGAAGCAAGAACCGAGGGTGAAAATGATGAGGTGGATGCATGCGAGTGGGAAGCGAGGAAGGAGAAGAACAGAAGGGAGAAACGGCCGAATTGAGAAGCAAGTGAGTCTGACTGAGAGCAAGTGAATGAGTGAGAGCACAGGTCACTGATGATATTGAGCCAGTCACGCGATACCACGTTTGACTCGCTCATCCGCATTCACTTACTCGCCACCGCTCACTCACTCATCTGCACTCACTCGCTCATCTGCACTCACTCGCTCATCTGCACTCACTCGCTCATCTGCACTCACTCGCTCATCTGCACTCACTCGCTCATCTGCACTCACTTGCTCATCTGCACTCACTCGCTCATCTGCACTCACTCGCTCATCTGCACTCTCTCGCTCATCTGCACTCACTCGCTCATCTGCACTCACTCGCTCATCTGCACTCACTCGCTCATCTGCACTCACTCGCTCATCTGCACTCACTCGCTCATCTGCACTCACTCACTCACTCACGCATGAAGGAGCAAAGGGGCGGGAAAGACGACGGTCAAGCATGAAGGAGGAAGAGAGTGGGAAATACGAGTCGTCAGTACTCACCAGCGGCGCTGGCGTGGGTCGCGAGGAAGCTGATGGCAACGAGACCCGCGACGAGTGCCGCGAGGCCAAGTCCGGTCAGGCGCTCCATCACGAAGGGAGAGGAGACGGCCGCCGGGGAAAAGGGGAGGCGGGAAAACGCGGAGACGGCGGAGAGCTTTCGCCTTCTTTCACGTCCGAGTTCACGTGTCGCGCTGTACCGCGCCACGTCGCTGGTGCTCGTCACGACGGCAGAGCCCCGCGGCTTGCAAGCGCGGGAAGGGTGAGAATGGGAAGGGAGCTCGAAGGAGGGAGCTCGAAGGAGGGACTCAGAGAATGGCAAGTGAGACGCAATGCCAGTGAGAAGCTGTGCGAGAGGAAGGACGACTTGTGAGTGAGGCTTCGAAAGCGGGCTTCAATTTATGTGCTGCGCGGGTGGATGATAACTCAAACTCTCGGGTGGATGATAATTCAAACTCTCGGGTGGATGATAATTCAAACTCTCGGGTGGATGATAATTCAAACTCTCGGGTGGATGATAATTCAAACTCTCGGGTGGACAATAAATCAACTCCGCGTTCCATTGGTCGTTAGTCGCCATCTTGCCGAGTCAAGGTCGTCGAGGGCCCTTGCTGTCGTAGGGCCCTCTAACAGGGACGGACGCGAGGCCCTCCAGGAAAGCGTCGGGAGACTCGCGGTGGTGCGCAAGGCCGATTGGCTTTCGCCTCGCGGTTCTGCTTGTGCGCTTGTGCACACGGCAGAGGGTCCTTGACTTGAATCAGCTGCGAGACTTGCGGAAGAGAGAACATGGCAGATGAACGAGTTACCCGCGATGGAAATTCCGACCGCGAACCAACGCGTTCAGCTTCAGCAATTCCGAAGGCGAATGTGTGGGGTTTGGATGGATATGGCAGCGGTGAAGCTCGGCATATTTTTTTTCAAGAGTATTACACCACAAATTTCACAGTAAATTAACAGTCTTAACAATTCTTGGCTGCATGACTCAAGTTATACCCCTTCAAACATTATGGTACTGTAATCCTCGTTATAAGGCTCATCATCGTTATAATCACGCTCATCGTCACTGTCGTCCGAGATGTCTTGCATTTTTTCTTCCCCTTTCCCTTGCACTGTTTGACAGGGGCAGGTGTTTTCGCCTGTCGTCTTTTGTACGTGCATGCACTCTCACTAACTGAGATTGCATCCAACTGAATATGCAGCTTTGATAGGCCTGAGACAGAGGGAGAAGAAAGGATGGGGAAGACAAAAAATGAGGACTAATAACAACAGTTCCTCCATTCACATTTTACAAGGCATGCACCAAGCTACACAATGTGGCGGACTTAACCACACATCAAGTACCATGTATCACACTCACACACCTTTTCGTGGCGGGGTAGGCACGGCCCTTCTTCGCAGGGCGTGCGATGGTCAGACCCTGCTGGCCCGTGCAGCCCCGGCCAGCGTAAAACGTCAGGCTCTTGCACATGCCGTTGCCAACCCTGGCCTTAGGGGCATCCCACGTGACGGTGATCTTGGCGTTGCCGATTCTGGAGCTCAGGTCGCTGCACACGGTGGTGCCGCTGGCCTGCTTAGCCGGCACCGAGGTGGAGAAGGTGAGGCGCTCCTTGAAGTTGTGCCCACTCAGCTGCACCGCCGTCTGCACCAACGGGTCTGAACGGCCGTTACGGCAGTTGGCGCAATGATTGATGTGACGGTGCCGCGACCGGCCGGCAAAGGTGACAATATGGGGGTTTGGCGGCGTTGAGTTGGAGGTGGGACAGGGTAAAGGAGAGGAAGAGGGCAGACAGGGGGGGGGGGGGGGGGGGGGGGGGGGGGGGGGGGGGGGCGGGAGGAGTGAGGAGACGAAAACAGCTCAGCAATATTCCTTGCAGCGATGTCTACAGAAATGGGTTTGTATAGAGAAATGCATTGTCTACAGCTCGGCAGGAAAGCACTCACCAAAGCACGTCTTGTCAGGCTCGTTGAAGAGAAAACCACCCATGTTGCACTCGCACACAGCATCGCTCCCACTCGGAAAGCAGGTTGCATCGGAGCCACAGTCCTTGCCAGAGAGAGCACACGGGTCTGCAAGAAAGGCATAGGTGGTTCTGAGGTGAGTAGGGCAATGGGCTTAGACGATTGGAACGCTTGCTGATGGTTGTGAACTCACCCCCACTCGCACACTCACCCCCACTCGGACACTCACCCCCACTCGCACACTCACCCCCACTCGCACACTCACCCCCACTCGCACACTCGCCCCCACTCGCCTACTCGCCCCCACCTCGCACACTCGCCCCCCCCACTCGCACACTCGCCCCCACACGCACACTCACCCACACTCCAGTGAAATAGGGAGAAGGGAGAAGAAGAATGGATGGGAAGAGGCTAACGAAGAAAACTGAACAGTTCGCTTCGGGCAGCGATAGCTGCTTCTACCTCAGGAGCTCTTCCCTTCTGACTGCAAAAGAGCATACCACACGAGTAAGATTCAACCAGTCAGCCGATAACACATTTGACTAACTCACATGCGGTCATGCCATACGTGCACTCACTCACTCTCCACCACTCACCGTAGCATGTCTTGTCGGTTTCATTGTAGGTTGTACCATCGTGGCACATGCACTCGGCAGGGCTGTTGGGAACAGGAGCCATGTGCACGCAATCAGCATTCGGCCCGCAATCCTTCTTGGCACACGCGTCTGCAGAAAAGCTCAAGCACGTTCCCAAGTACAACAGGGGAGGCTATTGCATTTTGAACAAATGAAGGGGAAGCGGTATTTCTTTGCACTCACTCACCCACACTCACACACCCACCCACACTCACGCACCCACCCACACTCACGCACTCACCCACACTCACGCACCCACCCACACTCACGCACCCACCCACACTCACGCACCCACCCACACTCACGCACTCACCCACACTCACGCACCCACCCACACTCACGCACACTGAGCGTGAGAACAAGGCGAGAAGAGAAGCGAGAACCGCGGGTGGGAAGTGAGCGAGGAGAAGAAAGGAATGGAAAAGGCTACGAAGGAAGAAAGAAGACGACCGAATCAAGAAGCAACAGCTGAGTCTGACTTAGAGCGGCACTTCTGCTGAAGGCGTGAGCGCACTGGTCACTGATCATACTCAGCCAGTCAGGCGATGCCACATCTTACTAAATGCTCCGCACTCACCCGCTCGCCACCACTCACTGTAGCACGTCTTGTCTGTTTCGTTGAAGTTACTGGTGCCATCGTCGCACAAGCAGTAAGGAGAGCCATCACGATAGAAAGTGCAGGAAGCACTGGACCCGCATTTAATGCCGGCACATGAATTTGCTGAGCGAATTCACGCACGGTTGGAACGAATACAGCAGGGCAAGGGGGGTTGAAAAAAAAAGGGTAATTAGTTGCGACCTTGCACTTGCTCAAAGGTTACCAGAGGTGAAAAACAGGAAGAGAGACGCAAGTTGATTGGGAGCAAAGGGGCGGGAACGACGACAGTCGAAAGCATGAAGGTGGAAGAGAGTGGGAAGCACGAGAGAGCACCCCTTGGATTGGGTGCCATGGTGGTGCCCTGGTGGTGCTATGGTGGTGCTATGGTGGTGCTATGGTGGTGTTATGGTGGTGCTATGGTGGTGCTATGGTGGTGCTATGGTGTTCCACCATCAGCCAGTCAGCCTACTCACTACTATCAGCGGCGCTGGCGTGGGTCGCGAGGAAGCTGATGGCAACGAGTGCGGCGAGGCCACACAGGCCGGACAGGCGCGCGTAGCGCTCCATCACGACGGGAGAGGAGACGGCCGGCGAAAACGGCGAGACGGGGATCAGCGATCTCGAAGGCGGGACCTACTAGGTGGGACCTTGAAGGTGCGACTCAGAGAGGAGACGAGTTGGAGAGGCACGCAAATGACAGCGAGAAGCTGTGCGAGAGGAAGTGCGGCTTCGGAAGCGGGATTCGATTTATGTGCTGAGAGTGAGCGGTGGATAACTTATCATCGGGTGATAATTCAACGCCGCGTTCCATCGCGGAAACGATGGCCCGCGCAGCGGCCGTGCGCAGCGAGGGGTATGCTCAGGGGGATCGCCGCTGCACCAAGCCCAGCAACGTTTGTCTTGGGATTGCTCGACCCTAGGATGACGCGGCCTCTGCCGTGGGGACCTAGCCCTCGCGATCGTGTTGGCGCAACGAGCAGGAGTCAGTGGGGGGTGTACTAGCTACTGTATTCCCACGATAGCCGGAAAGCGGAGAACGCGGAAGGGAGGAACGCGGAAGGGACGAACGTGAGTATGATGGGGGGGAACGATAGGAGGAACGGGAGAGAAGTGACGCCGGCGGAGGCGATGGCGGGAGGGACGCGAGGTCCTCTCGGAAAGCGTCGGGAAGCTCCCAGCATGTGTGTGGTGAACGCTAGGCAACTACAGAACACGAAGCGGGATTTCGCGGCGCAGCGCAAGGCAGAATGGCTTGCGCTACTAGTATTGGTTGTGCGCCTGCGCACACGGCAAAGGGTCCTTGAATCACCCGCGAAACTTGCGGAAGAGGGAGGGAACACGGCAGGGGAACCCGTTGCCTGGTATGGGAGGGAGTTTGATGTCCAACAAATGCTTTCGGCAATTCCGATGGCGGATGTGCGGGGTAGGGATAGACATGCAAACGGTGAAGATTTGTACCATTTGGTTCATGGGTGTGAAGTTCACACATAGTGGTCTCCACATTTCAATGACTCGCCGCCATGGATTCTAGGGTTTTCAGCTGATGACGCAGGGTTACTGAAACTACACGCGAAAAGCGCAGTTCTGTCACTTCTGACGCAGGGTTGCTGCCCATTTGTCGCTCGGAGCGCTCTTTCAACTCAGTTTTGCTTTCATTCGTCCACATGTCACAAAATTACAGGCCGGTACTGGGGACACTGTCAGAGAAAACAGTAGCCACCATTCCTGTGTTTTACCTGCAGATCTCCATTAAGAAGGGTATTGGGGTATATATAACAAGAGGTTAGTTGGGGGCAGATGGGACTGTAGCACTACCGAGTTTGGCCGCCCCACGGTAGCATGGTCCCGGCGCTACCGAATGGAATAAACCCCAGAAAAAGTATCAGTAACCAGACGCTCGGCGACCGATCATTGGACCGTTTTCCCCCCGATTTCTCATGCGGAAAACATCAGGGAAGGCTTTCACGTGCACGTGTCCGTGTTTCACCGGCTCATCACTTCATACCCCGATTCGTGGCAGTTGATGATTTGCGTTTACGAGAAAAAAACGATATGGCTGTACGTGGCATCGCCATAGCGCAAAGTTCCCCACCGAGGGCAGACGCGTGACCACTGATTACTCGACCGCGAAGCAGTGCGATAATCGTCACTTCGAGTCCCAGCGACAGTGAATCTCGTTTCGGGTATGGTAACAAAAAACCGTGCATGCGGTGAACCCAAGGATCAAAACTCGGGGAACCCATGGACGTTGCGTGGCGCAAGGATTCACCCACGGAACGCGAGGGCTCGTAGTAGACAACGGAGCCAGCTCTCCGTTCCCATCTCACTTTTCATTGTTCGTGCCCAGTTGTCTCGCTTTAGAGCACCGTCTTCGGCCTTCTTCCTGTCAGAATAGTGAACGAAGGAATGACTGAATTAGCAAGCAGGTGGGTACAAGCAGGAAACCTAAAAGTGTTGCACCCTATATGAACTACCCCACTACAACCTATACCGACTATAGCATATATGTTTGACACACCCCCATAGGCAAAGTGGGGGAGAACAAGAGGTCACAAGACCGGTAAAGAAAGGCAAAGCAAGCTCAGGGTGGATAACGACGTCACCACACATTCTGAGCACAAGCAAATGGCCACAAGGCCAGTTCACATGCAGAGTTATATAAAGGAGAACAAACAATACAGTGAACACAACCTAACAAGTGTAAGCATGCAGGTATATGTATAGAGATCACAGTACAAACAGAGTCAAGAAGTGAGCAAGTGAGGCCAAGTAGGCACAAGACCTAGCATAGTACAAAAGCGCTGATGATCACAAGGCTGAAGTGCCTTGGTAAAGATATCAGCAGTGTTGGCCTGAGTGGCCACGTAAGCAAGACGAAGCTGACCACGCTGCTGCAACTCTCGAGCAAGGAAGTAGCGCAGAGCAATGTGCTTCGTTCTGTGCTCCAGTCTGTGCTCCTGACACAAGGCAAGCACGGCCTTGTTGTCGACGTACAGAACTGGAGGAGAACGAGGCGCCTCTCCCAAGTCGGTCAGCAGGTAGGTGAGCCAGCGTAACTCCTGTGCAGCCATGGCCCCAGCGTAGATCTCAGCCTCACAACTGGAGCCGAGAACAGAAGACGAGCGGGTAGACCGCCAAGAGACAGAGCCGGAGCCAAGGCTGAAGGTGTAACCCTGTGACGACCGCTGCGTAGCCAAGTCGTCAACCCAGGAAGCGTCTGCGTGACCAGTGAGGACAACTCGAGCCCGTCCTCCAAGCACGAGCCCCATGCCCGACGTACTGCACAAGTAACGCAGTACCCTCTTCGCAGCATCCCAGTGCACCTTTCGGTGCCTACCGGGAGCCACGTAGCGAGCCAGAAGGCTGAGAGGGTATGCGAGGCCAGGTCGAGTGCACGTCATCAGGTACATGAGGCAGCCCACAAGCTCTGGATACGGGCCACTCGGCTCTACGGACTCGTCCGAAGGTGGAGCTGAGAGCGAGTGACCGGTAGGCAGAGGAGTGGATTGTGGCGAGGAGTACGTGAAGCCGAAGCGCTGAAGGACCTGCTGCACCATGTGTTACTGAGTCAAGGTAACGGTGAGCTGTGCTCTGTCCCGGGTGATCCGCAAGCCAAGATAGCTTGTCAGCTCTCCCAGGTCTGTGCACGTGTGTCTCTTCTGCAGCTCCGACTTCACGTGGGCGAGTGCCGCAGTGTCAGCAGTAGCAAAGACTAAGTCGTCTACGTACACGAGAACGTAGAACGGCGGCAAAGTAGTGTCAGTGCGAAGAAACAGAGACGGGTCAGCAGTGGAAGGAGCAAACCCAAGAGCAGCAAGCGTCGTCCTCAGTGTGTCGTGTCAAACTTATATGCTATAGTCTGTTTAGGCTGTAGTGGGGTAGTTCGTATAGGGTACAACACTTCTAGGTTTCATACTTGTACCCACCTGCTTTCTAGTTTAGTCATTCATTCGTTCACTATTTTGACATGGTATCAGAGCAGGTTCCCTAGTGGGAACTGTTTTTTTTTTAGGGCCCACCACGATTTTTTTTCCTGCCCTGCCCGAAGCGCGCCTCGAGCCCTGCCCTAGTACGGCCCGTCGCGACCCTGCCTTCGCTGGCCCGTCGCGGCCCTGCCTTCGCTGGCCCGTCGCGGCCCTACCTTCGCCGCCCATTGCTGGCCGGTCCCGGCCCGTCGCCGCCCGTCGCTGGCCCGTAGCCGCTTGTCCTCCGCTCCCTCGCCCCTCCTCTCCATCCCTTCCACCCTCCCTTCCTCTCCCTCCCGCGCCTCCCGCCCGACGCGCGACTCCCACATCTCCTCGATGCGCTCCTGCAGAGCAACGGCGTGCGCGGGGCGGTAACCCAGCGGCACCAAATGCCACTCCTTCGTCGGCGGCGCCCGCTCCTCCCCTGCCCCGCTCGCCGTTTTCTGCGCCGCAGCATCCGAGGCGACGCCTCGAGCGGTAACAGGGCAGCTCGTCGCGCCGATGCGAGTGAAGGAAGTCTGCTGCCGCTGCTGCTGTGGCGTCGGCGCCAGCGGCGGCGGCGGCTGCGACGGCAGTTGCGCGTTCACCTGGCCATGAATCGAACGCAAAACGCCGCTGCTGCGTGCAGACGAGCTCTCACGGAGCTCTTTGCACTGAAAAGTCGCCGCCGTGGCCCGTAGCCGCACGTCTCTGGCCCGTCGCCGCTTGTCGCTGTCACATGATCGAATTTCCACTCGAGAATGTTGCACTAAAGGAGAGTACAAGGCGTATTTATACTCAGAAATACATAAAAACAACAGATCATCCGAACCTTCGGGAACGAGCTCTTCTAGAATAGATAATCACAAGTGCGCATAAGCACGCAAGCCCATTGGCACTTCGGATTATGGCGAGATTACGCCTTGTACACCACTGTCGGTGCCGTATAATGTAAATGTCGGTGCCGAAAATACCAAATAAGTGAAATAATCGGAAAGCTCTAGAAAATAGAATAGTAGTCCGATTGAGGTGAAATAAAGTGCAAATGAAAGAGGAAAATAAGGAGAATAAGATGGAGTAAAAATATGGAAATGAGAAATATGTCGAACGTCGGCGTACTCTCACAGTCGCGGCCCTGCCTTTCCCGCCCTGTCGTGGCCCTACCCTGCTGCCGCCCCA